CCTGCTGCCTCCACTGCTTGTAATGTTTCCTGAGAGCAGAATGTAGAAAGAGTCAGGCTGATGAAGAGAAAGGGTTCCATATCAGAATATCAGTCTAGCTGTGACAGAGGGATGTCTGTCCTCATCTCCAGTTGGGATAGGTTTCCAACAATGGGGGCATTTGCTCTGACTTTGCAGGAAGCTCAGTTAGTTGCTCTTTTCAGTTCAGTTCTGTTGATTTCACAGTTAATGAAAAGTCTTCTCAAATTCTGTTTTAGGTTTAACTCTTCTTTTTAACACCTTTATCATGGTATGATTCCTGTACAGTAAACTACACATATTTCGGATGTACAATTTGATGAATTTTGGTAGATGCATACACCAATGAAACCACCACCACAATCAAGATAGCTAACATTTCCATCACTCCTCAAGAGGTGCAAATTTCAAATTCCCAATTTATCTCTTCCCACCCTCTTAAGACTCCTAGTTATATGTTGGACTCTTGATGCTAATTTTCAGTTATTTTTTTTCCTCTGTCTTCCAGAGTATTTTAGTAAGAAATTGAGACAGGTTATCTTGGACTGCAATGCTGACATCATTTTAAAACTGGAATGTTGATTCTTTAGTGTTGAGTTTGGAAGTAAACGTGGGATATGTAATACCAATGTCTAGTAGGAAGGCAGAGATCCAGTCCTAACCCTTCAGAGAGATGGCAGAGCTAGGGACAGAGCCCTAAAATCATCAGAAGAGAAGGGACATGTGGATCCTCAGGTGAAAGTTAATAAGCTCTCCAATGATGGGAGAGAACTACAGAGCCATGACCATGTTTTCAGAAATGTCAACATCTGGGGGACAAAAGGAGACTAAGCCAACACGTTGCCCTCTGTTGATTTGATTTTCTTTTTACTCTCCTGAGAAAATTTATACATGAATGAATAAATATTCATCAGGGCTTGGTTATCCACTTAGCTAAATATGCATGATGACCCTGGACTTTTTTTTTCCACCTCATAAACTGTCCCTCTTTTTGGCCAAGCTAGAGAAAAGTTGAAATCAGAGTTAGATAATGAGTGAACCTCTAGTTATTTGAGATATGTGTCTTGAGCAGTTTTCTGAAATACAGTCTACCATTTCAGAATTCTCTTTCCTACATAGCTACCATTATTTTAAGGCTTAGCAAATTCCAGGCACTGTGGTAAGCACTTTACATGCATTATCTCATTTAATCTCCACAACAATAGTATGGGGTAAATATTAATACTCCCATTTTATAGTAAGAAAGTTTTCTATGATAGAAATTCTATGATTTACCCAAAGTCACATACACAAAAAATGAGAGTAGCAACTGCATAGGTATTTGAGAGGCTATATGAAAACATAGCTAATGTTCAGGGATTTTTTTAATAAATAAAATATATTGCTTCTGTGCAAAAGATGTCAAAGAGTTGCTTTGACACCTACTGCTTATTCTAACATTCAAGACGTTTATCAACATTTCCTTTGGAGATATATTCAGAATTATTTTGCGATATAAAAATTAGTTTCTTAACTGGCAATCATACCTTGTTTTTGGCTGAAAAGTATTGAACACTCATTCAACATATTTGTCTCCACAGGACTTTTGGGTTATTATAAAAAATAATTTTTTTCACTTGAATCAAAATTTCTCCCTATGTAAATATTCAAAAGAATCTGCTGCAAAATAATGTACGCTCCTTATAGTTCTGTAACTATAGTAAGAAACACTTTTATGCATCTATTAAAATTCTGTTAATGAAGAACACATAGAATCATGGGAACTACCTGTTATGCTAACATAAAAGATGGTATGCATATTACAACTGCAGTTATGTAAAAGTATGCATCCATAGAGACAAAAACAAAGACTAGAAAGTAATTTGCAGAAATTAAGTATGATTGCAAAATTATGAGGGATATTTCAGAATTTTTCAAAATCTTCTCAAGTCTAGTTACTGTAGTAAAGTAGCTAGTCTTTTTTTAAAATTGAATTAACATATACTCTTATGTTAGTTTCAGGAGTACAACATAGGAATTTGATGTCTACATACATCTCGAAATGATCACCATGAAAAAGTCTAGTTACTGTCACCATACAAAGTTAATACAATATCGACTATATTTCCTATGGTGTACATTACATCTCCATGACTTAATCATTTTATAACTAGTAGTTTGTACCTCTCTATCCCCCCTATCCATTTTGCCCACCCTCCAACTCCCATCCCCTCTAGCAACTACCAGTCTGTTCTCTGTATCTGTGAGTCTTGTTTTATTTTGTTTTGTTTGTTCATTTGTTTTGTTTTTCAGGTTCCACATATAAGTGAAAACATACAACATTGGTCTTTCTTTGACTTACTTCACTAAGCATAATACCCTCCAGTTTCATCCAGGTTGTTGCAAATGGCAGGATTTCGTTCTTTTTTATGGCTGAGTAATATTTTATTATGGTGTGTACACACACACACACACACACACCCCCCACAGCTGCTTTTATCCATTCATCTGTTAATGGGCATTTAGGTTGCTTCCATATTGTGGCTATTGTAAACAATGAACATAGGGGTGCATAAATCTTTTCAAATTTATGTTTTTATTTTCTTTGGATAAATAACCAGAAGTGGAATTGCTGATTCTTATGGTAGTTCTATTTTTAATTTTTTGAAGAACCTTCATACTGTTCTCCATAGTGGCTGCACGAATTTATATTCCCACCAGCCGTGCACAGGGGTTCCCTTTTCTCTGCATCATCACCAACACCTGTTATTTCTTTGTCTTTTTGATTATAGCTATTCTGAAGGATATAAGGTGATATCTCATTGTGGTTTTGATTTGCATTTCCCTGATAATTAGTGATGTGAAACATCTTTTCATGAGTCTATTGGCCATCTGTGTGTCTTCTTTGGAAAAATGTCTATTCAGGTCCTCTGTCCACTTTTTCATCAGATTTTTTTTTACATTGAGCTATATGAATTCTTTGTATATTTTGGATATTAACTCCTTACTTGGTATATCATTTGCAAACATCTCCTATTTGGTAGTTTGCCTTTTCGTTTTCCTGATGGTTTCCTTCACTGTACTGTTTAGTTTGATATGGTCCCATTTGTTTAATTTTGCTTTTTTATTGTCCTTGTCTACGGAGTCAGATCCAAAAAAAATCCTTAAGACTGATATCAAGGAGATTGCTCCCTATGTTTTCTTCTAGGAATTTTATGGTTTCAGCTTTTACATTCAAGTGTTTTATCCTTTTGAGTTATTTTTTGAATGTAGTATAAGATACTGGTCCAGTTTGATTTTTTTGCATATAGCTGTCCATTTTTCTTAGCACCATTTATTGAAGAGTGTCTTTCCCCCACTGTCTATTCTTGCCTCCTTTGTCATAGATTGACAATACCTGCATTTATTTATTTCTAGGCTCTCTATTCTGTTCCATTGATCTATGTGTCTGTACCATACTGTTTTGATTACTGTGTAGTTTGAAAATCTAGGCTAAAGTAGCTAGTATATATCAAATCAAGTCAGACAGCGTATACTTTGAAATCAAGGCTAAAGTAGCTAGTCTTTATGGTAATCAAAGCTGCCTTCATTTCCTTATGCTCTGAACAACCATGTTAAATAAACCAGTAGCTGTGGACAGTCATTCGCAAGGAAAATAATATCTCTGACAGTTTTTCAAGGACGACTAATTAACCATGGGGCTAGGAGATACTCTCTATAACGAAGTACCATAGTTTTCTAGCAGTTTTTCTTTCCTGTGGTTGTTTTTAAAAGTTGTTATTGTTCCACTCGTATGTACAATTATCATTTAAATATTCAAGTTGACTTTAAGGCTGCTGCTCTCATGGGAAGAATGTTAAGCATTCTTGATCAAGAAACTGCAGCATTTTATAAACTGTATTATCAAATGTAAATTCCTAGCCAGACATTAAAGACTTAAAACTACCTGTCTCCTTCCCCAGTAATATTTTAGTATAATTTTCCCCCTCAAGACTTCTCTATAATGATTAATTCTTCCCTTGTTTTATGTACCTCCTCATGATCCAACACTGCAAACTTTATATATGGGATTAAAATAATTAAAGTCCCTATATTTTGATAATTTTTGTTTCACATCTTCATTTTTTAATAAAATAAAATATTGCAGATAAAATTCAGGCCCTTTGTTCCTTTCCCCAGACCCATTCTCTTTCCTTCTTTAGAGGCAGCTATGATCTTGCATTTGTGGAGGAATCTCCAATATGTTTTTGTACTTTTATATATGGACCTATAAACAATATATAATGTTATTGTATGTACTTTTAAGATTTACAAGTGAGCAGCTACATGCAAAAGACAAGTAGAGAAGACTCTACATGTCTTCTGTGACTTGCTTTTTTCATTCAACATTGTTTTGAGATCCATCTACATTGTACTAATAGATTTTGTTCATTTATTTTAAGTTCCCTGGAGAATATTAATGGTCTCGTGATTGCAGTTTACTTGAAAACAAAGGAGCATATTCCAAAAAGATCTTAGGTTACCCACTGTGTGACAAGGAGGGAAAACTCTTGCCCAAAGAGCTTTCTGCCATCTTTGATTTGGAGAGTGGGGTGGAGTGTCTTTCAAGTGTAAACACCACCTCTGAAGTAAAAAGCATCTGGTCAAGGCTAGGATAATATGTGCCAACTGGGTGAGGGAATGGGGAGTAGTTTAAAATACAAGTATGCTTAGAGCATATGCTGTTTAAGATACCATTCCTCCCTCCCAGCAAGAGCCTGTCACACTGGTGTTGATGGCTGTGTTCTTCTGCTATGGAAGAAACAGAACTAGAGTAGACAAACGTCTCTTTGGCATTTGTCCGATACACAGATAAAGACTTGGGTCTCAACATTCCCTCTGTAGCTGGTGAACATTTGTTGAACACCAACAGTGAAATAGGCACAGGAAATGCAGCTGCTTGCAATATCATTTCAGTGTAAGCAGGAGCCTTGCTGAATTTTCCTGCCTGTCTTTTATTAAAGGTCCACACACGTTCCTGTTGGAGAGGACCAAGTCCAGCACATGGAGCTGGTTCAGGATCTAGCGCAGGGGTTTAACAAGAAGTTTGGGGAGTTCTTCCCGGTGCCCAAGTCCATTCTGAGTAAGTAACAAATGTGAAATTGTTAAATCAGGGTGCATTTGGAAGAGAGGATTGGATGACGGACCGAGGCTTGGAACTTTCTTGGGACTAAACTTGGCTTTGTCATGGATAGGCTTCAGGATTTGTAATGAGAATTGTATCCTTTTCTGTAATGTAATGTAGGACTCTTCAGATTATTGAAAAAAAAAACGAGGAAAGTTTGAAAAATATGGGAGAGACTAGAAACTAAAAATAATCATTTTTGTTATAAAATATTGCATTATATATATAAAAACACATCTCATTTAGTAGAGCAGGTATCTTTCCCTGTTCTGTGGTTGAGGAAAGAAACTAAGGCTTGGCAAGGCTGATACTGTGTCCAAGTCATGGATCTGGTTGGTGGCAAACCTGGGCCCTACATTGAGGCCTCTGGTTCCAAAGCCAGTTGACCTTGTGTTCCCTATTCACGAAGTCAAAAGTGTAAGAACTGCCGGATCATAATCTAGATATAACAAGAGGGCATTCATTATCCTCGCATTCTGCCTTCTTAAATGCACGACCCAGACGGAATGTGCAACCTACCTACTGAATCCAAAACCTCGCCTGCAGCTTGCAAGGCTGTGCTGCGCTGGAATCTTCTCGAGGGAAGAAGCTGTAAATCTCTATCAGCATTTTGGTAGCAATGTAAACTTGTGGTAAGGGCAGAAATCACTGAATTTAAGCTCTGTCCATCGTTATTAAGCTGACAGCATTTTAGAGAGTGTAACTCATGCCTAGTATCAATTTAGAAGCATAAGGCGGCTGTAAATTTCTAAGTTATTCCGACAGTTCACACAAAGCCCATGCATTGAAATCACCTTCTTTTAGCAATAAGGACTATTTTAATGCTTTGACCAATTATTATTTTACCTATTTTAACTTTATATGTTTCTGTAAAAGCCATAAATTAGGCAATTATTAATAACATTGGTTTATGAAGCACAGCTTAACATCTTGATTCTATCAGAGCAATAAACAAGTCACTTGTTTCATTCTCACACGTGTATATGTGTGTGTTAGCAATTACTTACATAATCATGGGTAAAGAAATGGAAAGATGCCACAGGTTGTGTAAACCAGCACGAGGGCAGGAGGGGCAGTGGTTGTTGGCAGGGGTGATTAACCAGTAGGGAAGACCAGAGGGGAAAGAAATAGACAATATTTGTTAACAGGTATTCACAGCAAAAACAGTATGATTGATACAATTTCATTTGTGTAAGATTGTACATTTTTATGTATATATGTACATTAAAAGATGCATCAGAGGGAGGGAGGAATGAATAGATGGAGCATAAGGGATTTTTAGGGCAATGAAATTATTCTGCACGATACTATAGTGGTGGCTACATGTCATTATGCATTTGTCAAAACGCATAGAATGCACAACATCAAGAGTGAACCCTAATGTAAACTATGGACTTTGCTTGATAATAATGTGTCCTGCCATGTTGGTTCATCGATTGTACCAAATATGCCACACTGATGAGGGATGTTGAGGGTAGGGGAGTATATATGTGTGAGTGGGGAGGGCTGTGTGCAAACTCTCTGTATTTTCTGCTCAATTCTGCTGTGAACCTGAAACTACTCTTAAAAAATAGTCCATTAATAAAAAAAAGATGCATGAAAATATCAACAGAATACTGACAGAAATAACTAACATTTCTAACATCTTCACTTTCATGCTTATATAAATTGCTTGAATTTTTTTTATAATGAGCATTTGGTATTAATTGGGTAAAAATAATAAAGTTACTTGATCTTCTTGGCACTTCTTAAGATCTAGACACTGACATTCCTACTGGTGTTTTTTTTTGTTTTGTTTTTGTCTTTGTTTTTTTGGGTCTGGGTTTTGTCTTTCGTGCCTCTGTGTTGGTGTTTCCACCTAGCATCGATGAAGAAGGTGAAATCCCTGCGTGATCCTTCTGCCAAAATGTCGAAATCAGACCCCGATAAACTGGCCACTGTCCGAATAACAGACAGCCCTGAGGAGATAGTGCAGAAGTTCCGCAAGGCCGTGACGGACTTCAACTCGGAGGTCACCTATGACCCGGCCCAGCGAGGGGGCGTCTCCAACCTGGTCGCCATCCACGCGGCAGTGACCGGACTCCCAGTGGAGGAGGTGGTCCGCCGCAGCGCTGGCTTCGACACTGCTCGCTACAAGCTGGTGGTGGCAGATGCTGTGATCGAGAAATTTGCTCCCATTAAGAGTGAAATTGAAAAACTGAAGATGGACAAGGGCTACCTAGACAAGGTTTTACAAGATGGGTTGGCGAAAGCCAAAGAATTAGCATATCCCGTGTGCCAGGAGGTGAAGAAATTGGTGGGGTTTCTATAGGAAGTTTCGACTAATCACAAAAAGGCTTTTATATCTTGCCGTCTACTCACTCCAATAAAGGCAGCTTTCCTTACCAGGGAACAATTAAAGTTTGTGGACGCTTTATTTGGGACACCTGATTATTGGCTTCATTTGATGAATAATGATTTGTAGCCTTCAAATAGAGCAGTGTTCTAAATCACATCAGCAACATTCTGTGGCAAAAACAAATCAAACAAACAAACAAACAAAACCCACCGAAGAAGGCATAGGTATCTGAATCCTCAGTTATTTGAGACACACTCTTTGGCCTTAATTTATTCACACAAATGTGATTGAGGTGAGTAGTATTTGGCAAACAGGGGTATCATTGTGTCTGTCTGGAGTACTTATTGTCACAGGTGCTCACTTACCTATCCCAACCCTTTAAAAAGTAATATAATAGACATAGTCCTTGGGCTGCAATTGGACCAATTTGTATTCAGACCTCATAAAAATAAGTTGATGATTATCATTCATTCGGCACTGAGATGGTACCTGCTTTAATGTATTTAATCAGCTTAACTTATTTCCTGAGAAACCACACTGACTATTCTAGCAAGGATTATTTGCTGTTGTTTTAATTCAGAAATACATAATATAACCTTCTGAGAAGGTTGCATTATTTCAACTCGACTGATTTACTGTACAAAAGCCCAGATCCCTGGATTATGTTCTTTATAAGCCTTTCCTTGCATTTGTCTCTCAGTTTAATCTCGCCAACCCCCAGTGAAATATATAGGAGAGGGACTGCCATTTTACACCTGAGGAACGTGAGGCTCAGAGAGGACAATTAACTTGTACAATATCACCCTGCAAGTAAGAAGCAAATCCAAGATCAAAACCTTTACTCCGTATTCCTATGAATAGTGCTTTTGTCATCAACACAGAGCCCTGAGAGGCAGCATGTTTGAGACTCCAAGCATTTTTATTTATGAAGGTGAGTACTGGAAAGACCTGAACTACAGGTACTGTTTATATCAGCAGATCATCCCATAGCTACCAGCTTTAAATCTGAATTCAGCCAACCTTGGTCACATTTGCTTCTCAGGACCCCTAAAGCAGGTCCCAAGTTCTGTCTCCTCTTATTTCGAGGACACTTCAAAGTATATTCTGCCCTACTACAAGACTAGTGAGGTCTGCTGAGTCAGATTTTCCCAGTGATTAGAAGCTTTGCACCTCACCTCCACCTCCATCTAAGTAGCAGCAACTCACTCGAAAACCTAGCTTCCCTGCACTTCTCTTTCCCACACCTGAAAGTGGAAATGACCATCCTGAGTCACCCCACCAGGACCAGTTAGAAAGACTGATTTTGTAACAGAAATTGCTTAAAGTTTTTTGCCAGTGGCTACCATGATCACCATTTATACATAGGAGACAAGTATACTGGGCAATGAATTTTTACTCATGTTTCTTAAGAGAAAGAAGTAAAGTGATCCTTTTATCAGAACAGATAGAAATATACCAAACACTGCATCCTAGAGTCCAAATTAAAAGACCCTTTTTGGATCTTTTCTTGTAATAGGGTGTCTAGAGTCTTAGAGCCTCTTTGGCATATCTCCTCCAAGGCTCTTTTTTTTTTTTTTCCTTCCAAGGAAACCCTAATATGAATACTGGAAAATGACTAAATTAAAGGTGGACCTATCCAACTGTTTATTTTTTTACCCCCTTACAACACCTTCCATTCCAAAGAACAAAAGTCACCTTGGAAAAAAATCTCAGAGGAGAGAAACAAGATGACATGTGATAACTTTTAGGGGGCAAAGTCCTATAGAGATGAGGTTGGGCTTGTGAGCATCCTGTTGTTGCTCTTTGAAAGTGACGGTAGGACTCAAGTCCATAGTGACTGAGAGATGCGCCCAAGGGAGCTCAGGAAGTTTATAAAAGAGCCAAGGCCAGAACCTAGATTTATGTTCACATACCTTCCAATTACCATTTACAGGCCTCAGCACAGTCTTTTCATCGGGATGAAAAACTGGAGAGAAATCCAACTTGTGGCTTACCTGAGAAGGTGATTTTCATTGTTATTTTCCAGTTGTTTTGTGGAGAGTTGAAATGACGAAAAATACTTAGATGGTGGTAATAATGGTCAAATAACTTGGTGCTCTGTAGCTCCATCTACTGACAAACCCTACTTCAAACTCACCTTGACAGACTGTCACTCGGAATACGGTGAGGGTATCTTGCCTTTTGTAGATGCTTCATAAACATTTATCAAAATAATGTCAGAACGTGGGCTACGGAGTCCTAATAAATTATGGGTTTTTTCCCCCAGAAACTTTCCTGATGCAGACCATAAAAATGCACATCATAAAACAGTAACGCCATTGCGTCCTCACTGTGTATCAGGCTCCATTGCTAAATGTCTTATTACAGTGTTTTTCCAGACCAGCAACATGAGCATCACCTGGGAGCTCATTAAAAATGCAAGCTGTCTAGCTCTACCCCAGACCTATCGCGGAAAAACTTTGAGGATGAACCCAGCAATCCGTTTTAACAGCCTTCCAGGTGATTCTGATGCTTGCTCAATTTTAAGACCCACTGCTTTCATATGTAGTCTCTCATTTAGTCCTCATAACCCAATAAAGTGATACTGTTATCAATCTCATATTTCCTCAGGATGGAACCGAGGCATAGGAGGTTGAGTAATTTGCCTAAGATAATTCAGCTTCTAACAGGTAGGATCCAGAATCTCACAAGGCCACAGTGGCTCCTGCACAATGTCTTCTGGTGTGTTTGGGGTAATGTGCTCTGAGGCTGCACTGTCCAATATGTACCTGTTTAAATTTAAATTAATTTAAACTAAATTTAACTTTAACCACCACCCCATTTCCTCAGCAGCACTTTCAAGTGCCAGATAGCCTCAATGGCTACTGGCTAGTGTACTGGACAGTACAGGTGAGAATATTTCAATTATCCTTGGAATGTCTATTGGACATTGCTGCTTTAAGGCATTCAGCTGATTTTGCTTGTCATAGGTCAAGCCCATATGACTGAGGCCACTTCCCGGAGAGCTCTTCAACTGGGGAATTCATGAAGATAGTAAAAGGATTAGTTGAGAAAGACAGGCCATATAGTTTCCCAAACTTACACCTATAGTCTCTTAGATAACAAAAACTAGCATGTATTGTGTACTTGCTATATGCTGGGCACTTTGTGTGCTTATGTGCAGTGTCTCATTTAATATTTGTATCAGTCCTAGGAACTGTTAGTGCTACTTTTTCAAATAAGAAGTAAGATTCATCAGCTCGTCTGAAGGCACACATTTATTGTTAGTCTATAGTTTCTCCTAGTTAGAACCCAGTGGTACCTCTTAACTGAAAGTGCCAAGGAAGTGGTGTGCCCCTTCTTGACTAGTCTAGATTCTAATCCTCTCCTGTGTATCCCATTTTCTTAGCCCTCGCAGCTCTCTCCCTGCCTCCTTTCTTCAGTGCTCTTATAATTATTCCCCCAAGTTCCCCATTTGTGCACACAGCACCGTCTTTAGGTTGCTTTCTCCCGGACTTTGTTCCTTCCAGTTTGCTCTGTCAAGTGCTGTGTGCCTGTGTTATGGGAGTGACTGTGCGTGCAGTGGGGCAGCTCTTGGTCTCTTTCTCTTCAACATGATAACTCTGTGTTCTCATCGACTGTGGGTTCTCCCTGTGGGATCAACGTTCTCTTTTTACTCTGTCAACTGAAGGGGGTCTTTTGAAATCTTTTTGGCTGGGAAGAGTCTCTTCCTCCCTGAAATTGAGCTGAAAACAGATTGCCTATCACTAGCATGTAACATTTTCAAACACTCTCATAGACAGTCGTTCTGGAGGTTTTACTGTTGTTTAAAACCTCATATGTTAACTTTCAACAATTCTGTTATATTGGCTAGGCTGGGATTGTCTTATTTCTCTAGGAAGGGGTTCAGAGCGTAGATGACCTATCCTCAGATATGTAATCCAGCATTATGACAAGTTTATGTAGGGCCTGCTTTGTGAAAAGTACAGAGGAAATGAAATATGCCTATAATTTAGAGAACACAGAAACACTAGCTAGCTGATGCTGCATGAGCGCAGGAATGAGCAATTAACCAAGATGTTTAGGGAAGGAAGAAGATAGACATAAGAGAGGAGAAAGGGCTTTCCAATCAGAATCTAGAACACAGAAACACGAAATTTGCTTTTAGGGAAAAGCAAATCATACAGTATATGGGCAAAATGAGAATGGAAATACTAGATTGAACCACATGAAATTCTCAATATTTGATTATTACTTTTTACCAACAAAGCTGGTAGTTCCATGGGGATCCGTCTTAACATAACCAGTGAGCAAGCATTTTGTAGAGTGCCTGTTTTGCAGGCACCATCTAAGCATCAAGAATTCGAAATGAGACCCAGTTCCCACCCTCAGGCTCCTTGCCGGTGTGGAGATGAGCATGGAAGGCCAGTGAGAGGCAGAACAGCAACTAGAGCCAAAGTCTTCCAAGTCTGGAACCTCTCCGGGCTCCATCAATTATGGCATTAGCTCTTCATTATTGGAAATACAGCTTCTAGATGTCATGGCCAGTGGCTCTCAGATAAATAGAGTATTTGGTATTTGATACAACTGTACTGTCTCCAAGTATGTGCTTTTGCTCTGGGGTGCCTACTCCCCACTCCCCATCTCTAAATGGATGCTCGATCCAGCTACTGCTGTTACTTCTCTTACCTGTTGCTGCTTCTACTTTTTTCTAGAGAAACAAAACACACCTCCTCCTGAGACCTTTCAACTCGCATTCTTCTAGCTCAGTGCTTCGCAACTCTCACTCCTACCGTTTCAAGATCTCGCCTGATACTTGTGTAGGTTTCATGTCTCTGTCAGCCCTCCTTGCTGTCTCACACTCCTACAGCCAATGTAAGCTTCTAACACCAGCTCATATGTGTCTGGGCACCTGTGTACTCCTTGTTTCCTTCTCACTTTTCTGCAGTAACTACCACTGTGCACACCACTCCTATCTACTCTCTGCCCCGTTGTCCTTTCTGCACCAGCACCATCATGACTTTAGTGCCATTCTTACACCTTCTACAACTTCATATTCATCAAACAACCTGTCCCTCCTTAGTCATCTTTTGAGGAGAGAACACCCTGAGGTCCCTTTAATGGACTGGCATATTGACCTGTCAAGGTAAATGGAAGAGTTGTTGCCTTTTGATCCATCTTAATTCTGAAGTAACAACCTCTGTGTTAGGCATAAATGCCTCTCTGCCACTCCCATTTAACCCCCCTCCCCCAGAAAACAATATGCACAGATACACAAAGAACCTTAATTGTGTTTATGGTCCAGATATTTGTCACTTTATACATGGATTTGCCATAAAGTTGTTGTGACCAAGACTGCTAGCTAATGCCCCAGTATCCAGTCTCTTCTTCCCTTTTGGAATGGAATGCTCACCTTAATTTTAAGAAAGTACATAGTCTCAGGTAGGAACTGCATCTCCCAGCCTACCCTGCAGCAAGGTATAAATTTGTTCTAGCCAGTGGAATATGAACAAAAGTGATATGCGCAATTTCCAAGTCACATCTTTTTTAAAGGAAATTGCTTCCCCCTCCTTATTTCCTGGTACAGCATGTTGGACCCATGGATGAAAGCCACAAGAGAAAGATGGGGAGCATCAGCCCCCAGCTTGGGCCCCTGGACTTGAGAAGCAGTGCTGGCTTTCTGTCCTGGATTGCCCACTACCTCTAGACTCTTAAATGAGAAATAAAATTTTATCATATTTAAGCCCCTTTATATTGGGAGCTCTTTGTTATAATGCCTTAGCTATTATCCCAACTAATAACTAATCTTACTAGCCTCTCTGTCTAGTGTCTTCCTTCCAACTGGATTACTTCAATTCAATTAAACTAACATCTTGTGAGAGCCTTCTATGTGGCAGGGCAGTAGTTTTCAAGGTGTGGCTCCCAGACCAGCAGGCTCATCTTCACCTGGGACCTTGTTAGATATGCAAGTCCACAGACCTACTGAATGAGAAACTCCAGGGGTGGGACTCAGCAATCGGGTTATCAAGCCCTCCGGGTGACCTGAATGCACACTGTTTTGAGAAGCACTGTACTGGAGAGGGAAGGGGTTTTAAAAAAAAAAGAAATAAAACCCAGCCTATCTCAAGGAATTTACATTGGAGTGAAAGAGGTGCAAATAGATAACCAGTCATGAAAACAATTATTATCTTCACTTTCTGCCATTTCCTGTCTGCTCTCCTTTTTCATCAGATTAACTCAGGATAGCTTAGATTATTTTTGTTTATATTGGTGATTATTTATAGACAGCCTAAAAATTTAAGTCATTTGAGTCTATGCAAATCCTGAAAGGGGAAATTACTGACCTTACAATTGTAGACAGGTCGTCAATATTAGAACCAATGAGAATCTCCTGAAGCCAAGGGAGACAAATAAGAAGAGGGAGGTATTTTACACTGTGGGTAGTAAAATTACAGTACTTATTACCCTATAAAGGGTTATATGGCCTAGAAATAAAAACAGTTGAGTGTGGATTAAATTTATGAGTGAGAAAGTCATAAAATTACATTAAGTGCAAGTTAGGAATGTTTACATTATTTCTGAAAGTATCTAACGTCAATATCATAAAAGAAAACTACCATCTTTGCTGTCACCACCCTTATTATCATATCTTCAGTGTTCAGAACTCTAGGCTAAGCCCAGACTAGACCAATGAGGTATTGGTGGTGGGCTGAAAAGGAAAATGCCTGAGAATAATGACTCTTGTACTTGGTGCATTTTGTGTAAAACTTGTACACACTTCAGAGTTAATGAACGCTAAAGGGAGAAGAAATAAGGGAGACAATGGATGCAATTGATAAAAGAATTTGTTATGATTTAAGATTAAAGCCAGTTTGACATTATTCTTATTAACAAGAGACAATCAGATAACTGAAATCTGTAGATAATCCACAAGTTAAATATTATTACCGCTGTACACAGCAAACTGATCTTATGCTTTTGGCACAGGAGCAATCGCAGAGAAGAAGTGTTAGCACATCCCCAAACCAGCCAATCTTGAGACTCAGGAACTCTAGGCTCTTTATGATA